AAGATGAGAAGCATATTTCAATCAAAAGGAGAGCGAGCCAACTTAATTGAAATAGGTGGCAGGCCCTGAGCGTGAAAATGGAATTTCATATCAAACTTTCCTGGTCTTACTAAAAATAGGAAACATCCTTTTAAACTAAAATCAGATGTATTAACTTCAGCCTGCAAGGGGCATATTTCAATTTCCCTTGCATTGTCATAAAATGGATTAGCTTCTTGAAATATGTCAGTTGGACTTGAAATTAAATATTTGCTCTCCATATAGCTGAGTATTTGGGCTCGTGAAAGATAAGCATCACCTCCATCCTGTGGCTGCACAGCATTTCCTAGGTCAGCATGTGCCACATACATAGGAGGCCATTTCTTTCTGTATTCATTTCCCTTCTAGAAATACTCTTTAAAAGACAACAAAGCCTAAATATTCATTTTTCAAGAAGACTCTGGGGGGGAAATGATCAATTTTGTAATTTATTCCTCAACCAGAAAATCTGAATACAAGTTTTAGCATGGATGGCCTAGCAAGTAAGGAGCTGCTGCCAACGCAAAGGCAGGTGCTTGAATCCACGAGCAGGGAAGATGGGCAGTCTCTTCTCGTGTGATCTGCCTCTGAAAAGCCCCTGGACGGTCAGGTATGAATCAATTCCAACAGAACAGCAGTGAGTTAACTTCTTGAACAAGACTTTTTACCTGTTTGAGAACATAAAAAAAGATGAGTGTCAAACTATCAAACTTATAAAACTTAGAAAACTCTATGTTGATGGTCGATGTGAGAAAATGCATAAAAGTTGTTTCTTGATAAGTTAATAGAAACTAGACTTCAATGGATATATTATTTGGTCATAGGAAGAAAAAAAAAAGACTGTACATAACTTAACAATCAACTATCAGGTACTTGATACAATGTAAAATCTATGGTCTTAGAGTCAATTACAACTATAGAACACAGCAGAAGTGAATTCCCACGATTGTGAAAGATAGGCAGTCTTCTGTAAAGATTTACAGACTCAGAATCAACTTGACAGCAATAGGTTAAACTTTTTGGAATCAGACTGCCCTATCTTTTCCCAAGAGGGTTGGTAATCTAGTGTTTAATCACTACAACTCTCGTGCTATTTTCACTCACTGCCATCCAGTCAGAATCAGCTTGTAGCTGACCCTACAATGGGTTTTCAGAGATTGTAAGTCACATGGGACAAGATGGTACAACTTCTCCCTTGGAGCGGCTGTTGGATTCAAACCACTTGTCTTTGGGTTGACAGCACAACTCCTTACCCACTGGGCAACCAGAGCTCCCAAAACTATATGAGAAATACTGAAACAAAGAGATATAACCACTGAAAACTAAGTCTAGTTGGGTGTGAGATTTGTAAAAATAATGACAATATAATGATATACATTACAGTGAAAATAATGAGAACAGAGAAGCCTACACTGGTACAGTTAGAAAATTGTACCTGCTGTTCAGTTCACACTAAGACTCGAAAAGTGAGCACTTTCCAAGTGATCTTATTTCCATATATTGTGTGTGTGTGTGTGTAAAAAGTCCCATAAAACAACAAAACAGCACCATCCAAATTCGTACAAACACACTGAGAATGTGAGGGGTTAAGGAAACAAAAATTATCCCTTGAGGATAAAGCTCAAAAAGGAAGTGACATCAGAAAAGACGAATCTAGATGACAAAGGATCTTGAAAAGATCTGTGAATATTTACTTGATCGTACAAGCAAGAGATTCTGCTGCTTTTTCTCAATTCTTAGGGTCCCTTAAGGTTTCAGAAATTATGTTCCTCCTGACAAAAAGAAACACTCAACAGTTCTACTTATTAGTTAGTTCCAAACACTTAAGTGTCTAAAATATATCTAAATGAAAAGAAAATGTTTGTCACTCTTAAGTAGCCAATTGTAAACTGTATGTGTGCTGGTAGGCACAATCCTACTTAAACTCTGAAGTTCAAGTGGACACAAGTACTGTCATTTCCTGTTCCAGTATAATTTTCACATGACACTTGATATTTATCACAGCAAAACTCAAAATGTCAGCTTTACTAAGATACAGTGTCATTGGCAGGAAAGCAATGTGAGTTAATGCTAAACCTATGAACCACTAGGAGCTTGCAATGATGCTATCAAGTATCAGCGTGCTTTCTTTACAAATTTAAAATACTCAGGGTTCATCTGCAAGTTCACTGCAGCACCTTTGCACCAATCTGTAAAAGCAAAAACTCTTGAGCAGTTCACTGACAACCTAATTTGCATGTTAGAATAACTTAAGTCTTCGTAGAGGTGAGTCTGACACTGAGCATGGCAAGGCTCTTTCTTTAAGTCTTGGCCTGGGTCGTTCTGTCCCAAATTCAAAGTGTTACTAAGAATCAGTCTTGAGCATTCCATCAGACTCTGTTAGGGTAAACCTAAACATCTGTTTTTCTGCCACTCTGAATAGGAGAATCTACTGCGATCCCTTGTAAATGGTGAGCTGCATCCAGGCACTATCTAGTTCTTCGGTCTCGGGGTTATGGAGGTTGAGGGATGCAGGGTTCATTGTTCCTTTTTATTAAAGATTGCTATGTATCTTTACTTTCCTTCCCTCATCTTTGTTCCAGAGATAGACCAGTGCTTCCACCTTAGATGCAAAGCTTTTAAGACTCCAATTGCATTGTTTTTGTGGTCAATGTTAAGCCAACTGACCTTGTTGTCTCCAGGTCCTACAGCCCTAAGACACTGCCTCAAGCATATTAAATAAAAAGTGAGGAGGATGCTGATTACAATAGAGCCAAGAGATAAGGCCTCATTTAATCCATAATTCTTCCTAACAAAATGGATAGAAGGGAGTGGAGGTAGAGTAACCTAAGAAAAAGCGAACAAATTAATTTTCCAACTTGGGCAGAGTAGTCGTTGATGTTTTAAAAGATTTAAAAATTTATTTTCATTATTTTCTCTTATAACTTTGTATTATATTTTAAGCATGAAAATGATTATTCGGAATATAGTTCATTAGGCTTCACCAGAATACTAAGTTTGAAAACTAGTCTGCCTTTAGGTACACAAATTTAAATTTAAAAAGAGAAAGGTTGTTTTTGTTAAGGGCCCTTGAGTCGCATGCGACTCACAGCAACCCTATGTACAACAGCCCTAAACTCTGCTCGGTCCTGTGCCAATCTCATTGTCTCCGACACATTCATCCCAATTACCCCAGTCACCAAATCAATCTACCTCATAGAGGGCCTTCTCCTCCTGTGCCTGCCCTCCACCCTCCCAAGGATGATGTCCTTCTCCAAGGACCAGTCTCTCCTTACAATATGACCAAATTACGTCAGACAAAGCCTCAGAATCCTTGCCTACAAGGAGCAGCCCGGTTTAACCCTCTCCAAGATGAATCTGTTTTCTTAGCAGTCCATGGTACCCTCAAAACTCTTCTCCAACACCAAAGCTCAAAGGCATCAATTCTCCTTCTATCCTCCCTAGTCATTGTCCAACTCTCTGATGCATAACATGTGATTGCAAAGACCATGGCTTGTATCAGACGCACCTTGATCTCCAGAGAGACACCATTGTTCTTGAGTACTTTAGAGAGGTCCCTAACAGCAGACTTTCCTACCACAATACATCTTTTAATTTCCTGGCTGCTGGTGACAAGAGTGTTGACTGTGGAGCCAAGCAGACTAAAGCTGTGAATAATCTCAATCTCTTCACCATCCATCATCCTGGTGCTGCCAATTGGTCCAGTGGTGAGAATCTTTGTCTTCTTGATATTGAGCCTCAATCCATATTGAAGGCTGCAGTCCTTGACCCTCCGCAGCAAGCACTTTAGGTCCTCCTCAGTTTCAGCAATTGTACAAGTATTATAAAATTTACCAGGATGTTTGTGATAAAAGCCATTGGTGTAGATAAGTTTTTTAAAAGGAGCCTTAATAGTAGAGTGTTTATACTGGTGACCTTTTGGCCACCAGTTCAAAACCACCAGCTGCTCCATGGAAGAAAGATGGAGCAAATTGCTTTTGTAAAGATTTATAGCCTTGGAAACTCAGTAGGGCTGTTCCATCCTGTCCTATATAAATTTGAGTCAACTCCATGGCCCTGGCTTGTTTTGCCTACAGAGGTTGAAACGAGGGTGATGAGCAGAAACTTCGAGAATACTAACTTAAGAGACCAGAGACCAAGGCTTTCTAGAAAAACAAAAGGATGTGACAGAAAGATTGAAAAAAAAAAACCAAACCCAAATAGTCACTGAATCTGGAGTACACTGAAAATAGGTGAATTTTCTGACAATTATAAAACATCACCTGTTGTTAACAGTAATTGGTAATAATTGTCACAGGTGATGATACACAGGTGATAATCCTCAAACACAGCTACTCAGAATGGCTCCATTCCAGGGAGTATTCTAATCATTTCACGTGTTTCTAACAATTTTCCACAGAACAATGCCAAAGATATCAATGAAGAAGTAGACTATTAAACTCTCTTTCAAATATTCATATAACAAAGTGTAATACAGTAGACATCTCACAAACTTTGGTCTCATAAAGAGCACAATTGAGGGAGCTCAATGATTTTTCAGTTACTTCACCTACAAAAGCAGTAATACAAACATCTATCCAGCTGCTTAAGATCGTATTAAATGAGCTTCCAAACAAAATGCAATCACATAGTCAGAGCTCAATAAATACTCGGCAATAAATAAACAAAGCAACAAAACCCAACATAGCAATAGAAAGGTCATCTATTTCAAATACCACTATCTTTTTCCCCTGCAATCACTACTGAAATTAACAGTCTCAAGTTTAAGTTACAAGTTATTTTAATTATAAGTTATTATAGGCTTTCCACAACATACAGTATCATAGAAAACAGTGACCTATGAAAGTATATAAAGATGAACTAAGCTAACTTTATTTGGTATTCCTGATACTCATATCACTACCATCAATTCAACTACTTCATTTCTGAACTGAAAACTAAAAGGTGGCAAGATATTTACAAGAGAAATGCAATGTTGTTATTCATGCTGGAAATTTGAACATCTTCCTCTTTAGTTCAGCTGCTTTCTCATCAATTTTAGCACAATAGTCCTCTGCTGTTCTTTCAATGCCTTCGTGGTATTTCTCCAAAGCAGTTTTTAAGCTTAGAAATATTTCCTAGTTGGGAGATGAAATTGAATAAGAATTATTCCATGGAATAAACCATAAAATTCATAAAGACAAGCTACATGAATTACAATAATTTTACTCATTTACTGATAATTTAAAGTTTAGGCTGTACTCTAAATGCACACCCCTAAACCACCACCCCCCCACGCCTGTTCTTATTAAAAGTTCATTCTGCAAGCTGCATTGGCACATCAGAAAAGTCTGCTGCTTAAACAGAACAAAGCAAAAACATGACAATGGTCAAGATTCTGAGATATAGAAACCTTAAATATTACTGAAAAACTTTGCTTTGGAGCTTCTTACATTTACCATGTAGGGAATTTTAACCTCTACATTTAGACTCGGTAATTAATTAAAAGATAAGTAAACAGACTGTATTGTTGTTGTGTATTGTCAAGTCGGAAATGACCCATCGCTGACCCTACAGAGGGTTTTCAGAGGCAGTAAATCATGCAGGAGGGTGCCCATCTTTCTCCTGCAGATCAGCTCATGGTTTTGAACCATATGCCTGTGGGATTGCAGTGCAGCTTCTTACCACCAGGCTACCAGAGCTTTTAAAACAGATCATAGGACTGAAAAAGAAACTATTCTCTTTTAGAGTTGTTTTGCTAAGCAGATCAGACAGACCAACTATAAAGCAAATCTGATGATATAATATAATGATATAATAGTAAGAAGTTGTACTGCTGAACAATTTGAACAACAGCAAGTTCAAATCTACCAGCTGTTCTGTGGGAGAGAGCTGAGCAATCTCCTCCCATACAATTTTAAGCCTCTGAAAACCTGGGGGGTCAATTGGGAATTGGTTCCGACTTGATGGTACACAACCATAACAATAACAAGTAACAGAGTTTTCAAATAACTGTATATGGATATGCTAAGAATTAATAAAAAAGAACAATTTTTATAGATTAATTTAAAAAAAAAATTAGATTGTATACATTTTCTATCTCATGTTTATCAATACAATTGTGATTTTCCTTTCTAGTATTTGCTTTTCCCAGGCAATTTAATTCTCAGACCATAATAAAAGAAGGAGTAACATTTAGCAAAGTTATAGAAAGTATTTTACCAGCTAAATAAAAGTAAAATAACAGCCCTTTTCCTCAGGAAAAAAAGCAGCAGTCACAGAAGACAATATTATCAATTTTAGGTGCCTCTTCCATTAAATTTTTCTTGAACTGTGGTTTTAGCTACAACTCTTCCTTTAAATAATAGTGAAGACACTGAGTAATTCTATGTGAATTACATAGATTATTTCTAGTGACTGCCACTTTGACAAATTTGACAGCTATTGTTGCAGATAAAGCAAATACAAATATATGCCTAAAGTGAAATACAATCCAAAAATCCAAGCACAAGTGTTAAATTTTAATACAGGAATTAAGGGAATGGTTCTAGTTCTAAAATTGAAGTACTACATTCCTATAACTATGAGAGAATAGAAGATTATAGGAAAATTAAAAAAAAAATCTTAGTTTTATTTCTTGAACTTAGTATGAAAAAGAAGGTGTTTATGCTTGGGTGTGTCGGAGGCAGTGTGATTGGCATAGGACAGAGCAGGGTTTAGGGCTGTTGTACATAGGGTAGCTATGAGTCGCAAGCGACTTGATGGCACATAACAACAACAATAACAATGTACTAAGAAGAAAGCTGAATAAACGTGGCAGAAATATTTTTATTTATTTTTGAAATATTTTATGAAACATTATTAAAATGAAGTGGGGATAAGATGTACAATTTGTAAATACCAATACTGCAATAAATATAAAACAATATCAGTTTTTTCTTGTGAGGAAAGAGGCACAATAAATGAATGAACTATTAACACCAATCTTAGTAGCACCTCATGGTTTAGGCTTCAATCATAGGAAGTTTAATGGCAGTATATCATAATTCTCACAAATGCTATGTATTTTAGTTTCCAAATGAACTCTAAATATAGTTGAACCTTTAACATATGTATTCAAAACCTCTTACTATGGTTGCTTCACTGAATTCCAGGGTGCTTGTACTCAAGGACCAGCTCTGTGCTATGCTATCCCATAAAATAACCATGAGGTACATATGGCTATTGAAATTTAATTTACATTCAATAAAATTAGAACTTCAGCAAGTGAGTCTTTTGGCCGTATTTTAAATGTTCAATAGCCACATATAGCCTTGTAGTGACCAAATTAGACAGCCAGAGAACATGTCCATCATTATAAAAATGACCATATCGGCTTAATTATTTCACTTTTGAAACTAGAAACGTTTAAGATGGAGAAATATTCATACAATTTATAGTCAATCTGTCTATGCAAAAGTATATATTATTTCATCAACCAATACACCAGCTGTTCTGTGGGAGAAGGATGAGCAATCTCCTCTCGAGCAATTAACTGCCTGCAAAAATGTATTGCAGGTCAACCGTGGGTCAGTTCTGACTCAAGAGAACGCAACCACCACCCATCATTGGGTGGTGCAGAACAGGACAGGGTTCAGATCGGCTGCTCCCAGGGTTACTATGAGTCCACTCAACTCAAGGGTATAACCACCACCACCTATAGGTAGCATTGGAAATAGTGCAACAGAAAACATAATTATGCTTTCAATCCTAAAATAACACACAATCAAGACCAGACAGTACCGAACATATGAAATATGGTTAGTGTAAAAGAGCAATTGAATTTTTAATATTATTTCAATGTGAAGGGCGTACGCCAGGGATGCATCCTATCTCCATACCTCTTCAACCTATATGCAGAACAGATTATCCGGGAGGCTGGGCTCTATGAGGAGAAATGTGGGGTCAGGATTGGTGGACGATTTATCAACAATCTGCGTTATGCGGATGACACAACCCTGCTTGCTGAAACTGAGGAGGACCTGAAGCACCTGCTGCAGAGTGTCAAGGACTGCAGCCTGCAATATGGATTGAGGCTCAATGTCAAGAAGACAAAGATTCTCACCACTGGACCAATTGGCAGCATCAGGATGGATGGTGAAGAGATTGAGATTGTACACAGCTTTAGTTTGCTTGGCTCCATAGTCAACAGTCTTGGCACCAGCAGCCAGGAAATTAAAAGGCGCATTGCCATGGGAAAGTCTGCTGTTAGGGACCTCTCCAAAGTGCTGAAGGGCAGTGGTGTCTCTCTGGAGACTAAGGTGCGTCTGATACAGGCCATGGTCTTCGCAATCACCTGTTATGCATCAGAGAGTTGGACAATGACCAAGGAGGATAGAAGGAGAACTGATGCCTTTGAGCTGTGGTGCTGGAGAAGAGTACTGAGAATACCATGGACTGCTAGGAAAACAAATAGATTTGTCCTGGAGAGGGTTAAACCGGGTGGCTCCTTGGAGGCAAGGATTCTGAGGCTCCGTCTAACTTACTTTGGACATGTAGTGAGGAGAGACCGGTCCTTGGAGAGGGACATCATGCTTGGGAGGGTGGAGGGACGGCGCAGGAGAGGAAGGCCCTCTATGAGGTGGATTGATTCAGTGACTGGGATAATTGGGATGGGAGTGTCAGAGACAGTGCGATTGGCACAGGACAGAGTGGAGTTTAGGGCTGTTGTACATAGGGTCGCTATGAGTCGCAGGCGACTCGACGGCACATAACAACAACAACAACAACAACAAATGAATTTAAAATTAAATACAAAGGGCCACATGCTTCTAGTAGTTACCTTAGGAAAAAACAGAGGACATTTAAATGCATAATGCGACTGAAACAAGTCTGTCTGGAAAAGCTACAAATTGGACAATTCCAACTATACATAGTCTAGAAAAGGCTAAAACAAAACAAAAAGGTGAAGAGACTGCAATAAAGTAGTTGTTATCGAGGATTCAGGGTTCAGACGGAAAATGTGGGTAAGAGAAACAAAGGGATCTTTAGGGCAGTGAAACTATTCTGTAGTTATATGTACATGATGGTGTTTATTTGTTAGTACTCAGAAAACTGGACAGCACCTTAAAGCATAATTACACATTTTAGTGAATAATAACAAATCCATATTGATTCATGAATCACAGTACACATACCACACTAATGCAAGATGTTAATAATTGAGAAAACTGTGTGTGTGCATGTACAAGCATAAGCACATGCAAGGAGGAGGCATATGAAAACGTTATTTTTCCCCCTATAAATCCAAAAACTGCAAAAAATTTTATATTTCTTAAAAAGAAAATATCCAATCCCATACTTCATTAATAATACTGTGCTTGGAGTTGGTCAATGCGGGTTTCCCCTGCTAGCCAAAGTAGACCATTCCTATGAAACTTATACATTATAATGAAGCAAAGAAGCAATTACCTTTATTTTATATGGGAAACATTTTTTTAGCATCCCTCCACCCCAAAAATGCCCTAACAAATCACACCCAATAACATCTAAAACCTAAAGTAACACTAACACAGCACTCAAAGACACAGTTCAAAGCTCTGGTGGCTTGAAGCTGAGTGAGCTCCTGGGGAAGGAGCTTGGGCCACCACTCATTGCCAAGGGTGTACACTGCCTCTTTAATGGCTCATGGCAAAACAAATGCTCAACTCTAGTTTCTCGTTTTGCCTGTTTTCTTAAAAGAGAAAAATGTTCCAGGATTACTGTAGATTAGCAAAAACAGGTACTAACGTGGTCTTTTATTAAAGCATAGTGGTATAAAGTGAACTTTGAAAAGCTGAGAGTCCCTGTAACTGGAAACTTGTGTACAGTGTTGGAGGCCACATTTAAATAGAACGACACACAGAAGAATGAGCACTCAATAAAAAAGAATAGTAATGAATCTGATGATTAATTTATATAAAGAATGGCTACAAAAATAATTACTCAACTTTAGATATCAGAAGACTGAGAAAACATGCTGTTGCTGTTAGGTGACGTCAAATACTGGAAGAACACACTAGCCCCCAGTCTATTCAAGGTCATTAAACAGAAGAAAGCTCATTTCAGAGAAAAAAAAATTCAATTGGATAGTGAAAAAGATTTTAATCATAAAAAAATTTTTTTATACAAAATTTTAAGGCGTGACTAAGTTTTCTATCCAACAATTGTACACATAATGGATATTAATGAGAAAAAATAAAAAATGTAACTAAACTATACAGGAAAACAGCTTGTGTGGTTATGAGCTCTGTATCATTGAAAGCAATGAAACAGAATCTATCAGCGATTCTCAAACACCATGTTAAAATACAGATGGAAACCATTTGTTCATTTTCTAATGCCCCACTGGATTCTAACAGTTTCAGAGTCAGTATCTATTGGTGTCTTATTGACTATGCAAAGGCATTTGGCTGTGTGGATCACAATAAATTATAACTAACATCAAGAACACTATTTGTCTTATGCAAAACCTATATGTAAGCCAAGAAACTGCTATCCAGACAAAACAAGAGAACACTGATTGCATGGTTTAAAATCAAGAAAGGTGTGTATCAAAGCTAAATCCCTTCTCCCTAGCTATTCAATCTGTACTCTGAGTAAATAATTTGAGAAGCTGGATTTTAAGAAAAAATGTGGCATCATGACTGGAGGAAGACTGATCAACTACTTGCGTTGTGCAGATGACACAAACTTGTTCAATAAACGTGAAAGGACCTGAAACATTTACTGTAGACATCAACAAAAGAAAAATCCTCACAACTGGGACAACAGGCAACATCATGATAGATGGAGAAAGGATTGATATTGTCAACAATTGCATCTTGCTTGGATCCACAACCAGCAGCCTTGGCAGCAGCAGTCAAGAAAACAAAAGATATAGTGCTCTGGGAAAATCTGCTCTCCAAAGTTTGAGCCCTCTACTGAAGCAATTGTGCCAGTCCATGTCACTGAGGGTCTTTTTTTCTGACTGTACCATTCCAAAAATGACATCTTTCTCCAGCGACTAGTACCTCCTATTAACATGTCTATAAAGTACATGTTATGACACATTGCCATTTTTTGCTTCTAAGGAACGTTCTGACTATAGTTCTTCCAAGACAGGTTTGTTCATTCTTTTGAAAGCCCATAGTATATTCAATATTTCCAACCCAAACAAATTCAAATACATCAATTATTCTTCAGTCATCCTTATTCACTGTCCATTTTTCACATGTAGGTGATAGAAAATACTAAGGCTTGGGTCAGGAGAAACTCAGCTCCCATGGTGACATCTAACTTTTAACACTTAAGATGTGCCCAACGCAATACATTGTTTGAACTCCTGACTGCTGCTTCCTTGGACAATGATTCTGAATCCAAGTAAAAAGAAATCCTGGGGAATCCAAGCCTTTTCTGTTTATCATGATCTTGATCTTGTCTATTGGTTTAGTTGTGAGGATTTTTGTTTTACGTTGAAGTGCAATCCAATTTTGATCTTACCAATTACTGCTTTAAAGTTTACCTGGCTTTCAGCAAGGAAGGTTGTGTCATTTGTATATTACAAGTTAATGAGTCTTCTTTACAGTGTCTGTCTTCTCAGATTATTTGCTGAATCAGAGACTGAATAAATAGGTGAAAAGATAGAATCCTGATGCACACCATTTCTGATTTGAAATTCTAAGATTCAATAATAAAAAATATTTGGTTTGATTAAGAATTAAGATTAAAAATCTTCTACGCATTCTGACTCTAATGATAAACACAGGTATAAGGAGCAGGAAAAAGAAAAACGGTTAGAATACAAGAAGAAAAGAAAGAATAGGAAAGATCAGGAAAGCAGGAAGGATAGAGATGGCAGGAACTCCACCATTTTATTAGTTTGTTTCTCCTTCTTTTCCTTCCTCCGGTGCCTCTCTTTATTTGTACATGTATACACTGGCATGGGCAAGTGCAAACAATCCAATTTTTCAAAGAGATAAGAGTTCTTGGAAATAGGTGACAGGATTCTCTACATTGGTTCTTTAACTATTAGGGATCTTTGCAAATTGAGGAGAGATGGAAAACAGTGACAACACATGTTTAATTATCTATCAGGTATCAGAGGCTTCAATGCAGAAAGGTCAAGAAGAAGACAAAGAAACAAAGCCAAGAGATGCATACATAGAGGACATTATCAGACATCTGGTAGAGCCGTGTGGAAGAATTTTGAGGATGTATGTCAAATTTCACAAGCTGAGGAGAGAATGCAGATAAAAGAAAAATATCAGGAAAGAACTGTTGGAGACACTGACATTAAAAATAGAAGGAGGTAAACATTGACAGTGGGCTAGCAATGTAAAATATAAAAATACAGAAGAGACAATGTTTGTCCTTATTGTTTATGATTGTTTATACTATGATAAAGTGAACGCACTTGAAACAAGCAAAAATAACAGTATCAAGTAATTTTATGTAATTATGATAAAGATATCATTAAAAGCCTCATAACACACAAGGACCAATCTAAATAGTTGTATTTCAGGAAAAATGCACTTACCACTGCTCCTATGGAATACTTTCAAAATCCCTTGAGTAAGCGGAAATAAATATACATACGTGCATGCACACACTCAAAGGGGATCTTTTTCAGAGGACACTACTTTAAATCATTATCTAGTATTATTTTTTAAAAAAATCTATAACCTTTTAGGAGCAGCTAGTACTACTGGAAAGCATAGCATTCTACTAGATTCTTGCGGGGAGAGTGCAAGAGTTGAGTGTGAGTGTGTGTGTGTATGTATGCATGCATGTGTGAATTTTCACTCTTGTTATGTGCCATTGGGTCAGAACTGACTCATAGTTAACTCTCTGCCAGGTTTGTGGAGGCTGTAAATCCCACTGGAGAATGCGCATCTTTTCCTATGGAGCAGCCTATATCGGTAGCTCCTCTGGGTTGGCACGACAAATCCTGACCATGAGGTCACCAGAGCTACCACCAAAGAATTAATGAGTTTTTCATAATAAAAAGGACACAATTTATATTTTAAAATCAGATATTACGTAGCATTAATTTTTTCATGAACACAAACTCACCTGAGATTTCAGTTTTTCTCTTTCAGTGGTATCTTTTAGCTGCTGAATTCCAAATTTTATTTTTTGGATTTCTTGATTAATTGTGATTACTCGCTCGTAGACAGCACCTCTTTTTTCTTGAACTTTATTACAATCCCTAAATAAAAATGAGATAGCTAAAGTATAATTCTTAAACACTATGTAAGCAAATAACTTAGTTCTAATTTAGATTTCAAAGTGATCATGTGTATTTTCTTAACAATTCTAAGATTTTTCTTACAAAAATCCCAAAGTGTACTGCTAATATACCATCACAAGACTGAACTCTTGCTCAAAAGCCATTTTGTATGTAAAATGGAAAAATTAAGCTATCACATATCCTTAGTTGTGGACATTCATGTACTGTTAGTGAGAATGTTAATTGGTAAAATTTTTTGGAAAGTGGTTTGGCAGGAAGAACCACAATCCTTAAGTTCTATGCTTTTCTTCACCTATATGAGGAAGAGTGAAAGAAACATTCAGAAGATCATTATGTGCCCTTGAAGAGCTGAAGCAATGACAACTCCTAAGCATATCTGTTTTCCTAATTCTAAAAACAGTGTCTTATAACTGGAGGGGGGGAAGACCTTAACAATCAAAACACTCAAATGTATTGGCTAAAAAGAAAACCTCAAAAGCTTAATGGAGATTATTATCTGGATATAAAAAAATAAGACTTCCCCACAAAATATAGATCCTATAAAGTTTACAGATCTGTTGAAGCATAAGATGGGCCAATTTATTAAAACTATCACCACGGTCTCTAAAGTTCACTGAAACATAAGTACTGACACCAGAACTCTTGGAGATGATGTTAGTGAATAAGAATTGACTTATCGGGAAAGGAAAAAAAAATCAAACCAAAAGGATCAGCTACAACATCTCTGTATCTGGACACATTATCAGTTTCATAATTAACTCATCTGTTTTAGTCATTAAGAGGTGGGCTACCTTTAGAAAATATAATAGTTCTGGAATCCTGAGGGGAACTGTTAGCTTTTCCTAATTACATTTTAATACATTAAATGGAAAATGACTTCATACTCAATTACTGTGCGTTTGTACTGCTTGATATCCTCATGTTTCTTATTTATTTTGAATTGTACTGTGGCAAGCTTTTCCTTCTTCACAACCAACAGTCTTTTCAATGAATTTTCTTCAGCCTTCAGTTTTTTCAATTCTGATTCTTCATTCTCAATTTGATCCTCCAATTTCAGGCTCTACATTTTATGAAAAGTATTTAAAGTCAATGCAAACATTTAGGATTTATAAACAAGAAGCTATTTTCTAGAAGATGGTATAATAAAATAAAATAAAATCTTAAAGCAAAATAAAATTATATAAACCCAGGGGGTCAGGCAGAGAATGTCAACAAAAGAAAAAACAGCAAATGTTCACATCTGAAGAATGAGCATGTCAACCAGGGTGTTGTTTTTATTTTTGTTATTCTATTAGATTTATCATGATATTCTATCAGCAAGGATGGAAATGGAGAAATGCACTAGGAAATTAATCTAGAAGACTGGAACTGAGGGAGGTTTAAGGTCTGAACTAAGATAACAGGAATAAAGAGAAAAAGTTAGATCTTAGAAATAATTAAAAGCAGTGGCCCTCAATTCTTTTCCAGTGTCGTATCATGACAGGTATCTAGTGCACTTGGAAAGTGCAACAGCATTACCCTTCTAATTCTACTTTCCTCAAAGATAAAACAAAAAGATATTTTATAGAAAAGTAATATATAGGGACAGTGGATTGGTTGGCAAAAGAAGAATGACTTTCAAGTATCTAACCTGCGAAACTTGTATAATGTTGGCATTAGCTCTCATTCTTTAGGGCAGAGACTATTTAAAAAATTCTTGATAGGGTTGAGGTACAAAGGAGGGTGCAAAACTGGAAGTTTATGCTTAACAATTATATGATCATTTTCAATTATTATAAAAAGCTTAAATCTATTACTATTTTCCAAAATATAAATGTAGTAACTGTGGCATGTTAATTTCGTATGCATTTCCTTTCCAGGTTAAAATAGGTCTTATGACTGCTATGCTTTGATAAAGTGCCTTATTTCCTTGCATACACTGTTACAGTTACTACGCTGCAGCATGATTCTGCCTCTCATTAGGAAAATGCTAACCAAAACCTCAAAGTAAACCCAAGAAATAATAAACCACAACATAATAAAGACATAAAAATGCCACACAATACAAACCTCCTTTAAGGTACTGGCTAGTTTTTCCCTATTATCTGCAAGGTCTTGTATTTTCTTTTGATAAAACTGCACTTCCTGCTGACATGAAGGCAGGCAGTCAACCGAGTCTCGATAGGTTTCATATTTTTCCATCACTTCTTGCTTTGGGGGAAAAAAAAAACAATACCACATACACACTCATTTATAGAACTGTAGTAATGTCAATTTGTTTGCTCTTAAATAATTTCTGTACTTAGTACTGAAAGCTTAAGAGCAGAGAACAATTAAGTTTCTAGGTCAGTAACAAAGCACTATTATTGACATGTGTCTGAGCACATATAATTAAGCTTCTTAATTGCCAAATTTCCTTGAACAAAAGAAAACTGCTGTAATTTTTCTAAATCGCTCATTGAAGTACCTTCCAAAGGTTATTCATGATGATATTAAAAAGGCTTCACTTTTGTTAATCCTGAAACTACTTCTGATTATTCTTAGGCAATTGTATTACTCATTTATAATCTTCCTACTCATTTACATCTTATAAAAATTTCTATTATAACTAATTCTTTTAAAAACATAAATTCCTTTTTTAAAATTAAAAAACAAACCTGCTTATTATAATCACTAAAACAATACAAAGATAAATACTTAAAAAATTTAATCTCCCTTTCAACAGTTCCTCTTTATTCACTGGCCTACCCTTTCTACAACATGTTTATTAGCCAGCTGGATTTTGTTTTCAGTAAAATACCCAGCTATATTTTGTCTATTTTCACATGTCATAGATACATATCATATGCAATGCAAATATATTTGACTAGGTCTACTTTTTTCTGTAACTTTGGAGTTTCTAATCTTGATTCTTTTTTTTAAAAAAAAGTATCTCATGATTACACAAATGCTCTCCTAAAATTATTACATTTTTAATTTGCATAGCATTAAACTGGTACGAAGTATGGTGCATTTCCTGTCGAATCAGAAATATTTATGAATCATTCTTTCCCCATAAATACTCAAGATTTTTTTTTGGCTATCATTTTGTTTACTCCTGTGTGATAATTAAAAAAAAAAAACTTGGATAACCAAGTCAAAGGTAAATCAGTATTTTTCATAATAATAGTTAAAACTCATAAAAGGATGCTGAATTGCCTACCCACTTTTTACTGCATCCCATCTCAATACATTTCCTATCATAACTTATTACTTTTAAACTTAATCCACATCATGTCCTCCTATCCTCTTTTTGGTTAGTTGATGGTGAATTCTTGCTCTTAAACGAAATTTAACAAACTATCCTGTTAAGTGTTTCTCGTTATTTTGTGCCACTCTCCTCATTGACCTTCCACATTGTTCCAAACTACCTCCCAGAATCTCCATACACCATCTTCCCTTTACTTCAAATGATCTTCCTTGCATAACTTACCTAGATAACTTCTATTATCAATTGTCAACATACATTTCCTTTCCCACTCCTGATTATCCATCTGATTATCTCATTACTAAATTATTGTTATTAAGTTGTTGTTCTTGAGTACCACTGAGTTGGAACTGACCCATAGCTGACCCTCAGGCGGGTTTTCAGAGTCATTTAATCGCTCCCGTGGAGAAGCTGGTGGATTTGAACCGCATGCCTTCAGGATTGCAGTGCAGTTTCTTATCATTAGGCCACCAGAGCTCCCTATGAAGTTGTTACTAGGTACTATTGAATTGTCTCTTTCATAGCAACTCTGTGAGCAACAGAAAAAAAAAACAAAAAACAAAAACAAAAACCACTGACCAATCCTAAGCCTTTCTCATAACTGCTCTTCTGTTTAAGCCTACTTGCAGCCAATGTGGCAATCCATCTAGTTGAGGGTACCATTAACACATTATTTCAAAGACCCTTATAATGTTACATAGAATATACTAGCGTCTATAATTATGGAATTGATTTCTCCCTAATCTGACACCTCTTACTCTTGCAAGAAACTAATTTTCATGAGGACTGGCCATTTCTGTTTTAGTCATCATTTGATTAAAATTTGTTTCCTCAAAAAATGCGTTGCTTAATGACTCGATGGCACTTAACAACAACAACAATTGAATAAATGTCTTGAAATTACACTTCTTTTTTCCATATATATTTTGCGGGGCTACAAATTAGAGACACAATAAAAAAATGTGTACAAGAATGAGAATCAATCACTCAGAAATTAGAAAATGCCAGGCTAAACAAGGTGACAGAAAAAAAACCTTTTTTTTTTTTTTAAAAAAAAGGAAGTAAAGTTTTAAAAGCACTAACATATGAAGGAAACTAACCTGGGATTTTTTAAGCTTTTGGACTGTATCTTTCATTTTTTCTTTGTAATTTTTTAGCTTCTCTGGGGAATCCACAACTTTTGCTTTCAAACTCTCTTGTACTTCTTTAGAAGAGGCCAGGGTCAATTTTAGTTCATTCTGTGGAGAAAATATTTTTTGTATTAGACAAACTAATAAAATCCATATTTTATTAACAGAAAAAAACCTCTTATCTCTGATGCATATACCTGCTTAATCAATCAGTCAGACTAATCTAGAAGCTAAAGCTCCTTAGTAGGATATTCAAGGGCTTTAATGATTTGGCTCCTTTTCTCCTTCCCAAATCTCAACTTCCAGCATTTCCCTAGTAAACTCTAAATTTGGTAACAGCAATTATGTGGGTGTTGTGTATTGATAGTAGGAACCAACCCATAGCTGACCCTATAGCAGATTTTCAGAGACAGTTAATTGCAGGTGGGCAGATTGTCCATTCTTCTCTTGTTGGGAATGTAAAAAAAGAAATGTAATTATAAAATTTTAAAATCATATAAATTCCTTTACCAAATATGTTGATAAATCATATTTCAATGCAGATATTCTATGACTCCATGTACTGGTATAGGAAGATGTATACAAGAAACTTAAGGAAAAAGAAATTCACAGATCACGTAGAGCAGAGAGTAGTTTCTATTAAAAACAGAACAAAGTTATACACATATCTAATCTATATGCGTAAGAGAGATCTGGTGATTTAATCCAAACAGAGCTGAGCTGCTAATCCAAAGGCCACACTTCTCTGCTGGTTCAAATCCACCAGTAGCTTTAAGGGAGAGAGATGAACAGTGTCCTCTCATGCAATTTACAGTCTCAGGAAAACCTGCTGGAGGCTCAGCTATGGGTTGATTCTGATTTGATGGCAAAGAATTTGAGTTTTTTATACATGCATGAAGTGTCAAGGAAAAAGGATTTGACAGGTGTCTAACTAAAAAAAGGCTTTTTATGCCTGATCCTATTCACGTCATTTGAGTATTTCATAGAAGGAACATAACTGTTTTTATAATTTATATTTTATTAACCAGTTCTCACTTCTAGATCAGCTACTCAGATATCAAACTTCAACACTCAAGTTTCCCTTATTTCATTGTTGTTGTTGTGAACTATAGAATTGGAACTGACCCATAGCTGACCCTCCAGCAGGCTTTCAAAGGCAGTTAATCACATGTAAGGAGATTTCCCATCTTTCTGCGGAGTAGCTGATAGCCTTGAACCATATGCCTTAGGGATTGCAGTACAGCTTCCTGCCACAAGGTCACCAGAGTTAGTTGCTAATATCAATCTACACAGTATTTACCTACTTTTAATTCCTTACAAAATTAGAAATCTTTTTCTTTACAATAGCATTGACTGTCTTAATTTTTTCTTTTTGTAACAAATTTGATAATATAACATGATCTTGCTTTTACCTAGTTTTAAATGGAACAGGGAAAAAAATAACTACTACCTCTCATAAGGAAGAAATAATAGAGAGGTAAGTCATTCATTTCCATGGAGTCAGGCCAACACATAGCTGACTCCCTGGCAGGATTGAAGAGATATTAAAGTGCATGAGAGAAGCCTGAACATCTTTCTCTCTCAGGGCAGTGGGTGATATTGAACCATGTGCCTTTGGGTTAGAAGCCCAACTCCTTAGCCATTAAGCCACCAGAGCTCCCTATAGAATAATAAGGGTTTTATTATACTAACATAAGGGAGCTCCAGTCGCCTACTGGTAAAAGAGTTGCCCTGTCAACACAAAGGTATGGGGTTCAAATCCACAGCTGTTTCATCAGAGAAAGATGGACAATTCCCTTCCAAGCAATTTACTGCCTCTGAAAACCCACTGGAGGGTCAGCTATGGATTGGTTCCGATGTGATGAAACACAACAACATATTAAATAAAACAAATACCATTATGAGCTAAAGTGCTAAAAGAATAGGGAAATGACTTAAATTAGGATATACAAAGAACATTTAAAATCAGCCATTAGAAACCAAATTGTGAAATGGACAGAAGATCTAAACAGAAATTTCACTAAAGATATACAGAAGGCAAACAAGCTATGAAAAATGTTCAACATCATATAATACTGCTGGTGGTGGTAGTGCTGTATTTTTGATTTGGAATTTACTCATAGCTGACCCTCCAGTAGATTTTCACACAGGAGGAGATTGTCCATCTTTCTTCAGCAAAATACCTTGTGGATTCAAACCATGTATCTTTGGGTTGAAAGCACAAATCGTTACCCCTAGGCCACCTGAGCACCCTACTCATAGCATTTGGTTGTAGTGTGTACCATTGAGTTGGAAGTGACTCAAAGCATACCCTACAGCAGGTTTTCAGAAGTGGTAAATTGCAGGGGAGGAGACTGCCCATCTTTCTCCTGTGGAGCAGCTGGTGGATTCAAACCAAGTGTCTTTTGGCTAACAGTGCAACACCATACGTCTAGGCTACCAGAGCTTCCTACTCTAATATTGTTGTTGCTGTGTACTGGTTGAGTTGGAACCAACTCATTTGCTTACCCTCCAGCAGGTTTTCAGAGGCAGTAAATCTCACAGGAGGAGGAGACTGCTGGAATTGAATTTCAAGGCTTCAAGATTGCAGCACTGTCTATTACCTCTAGGCCACCAAAGCTCCCTACTTAAAAGATGGTTGTGTACCCCCGAGTCAGAACTGACCTATAGCTGAGCCTCCAGTGGGTTTTCAGAGGCAGTAATTGCAGGGGAAGAGATTAGGAAACTGGACATCAAAATAACTAGAAACTTTTATACAATCATGGTAAAATACAAATAAGGAAAAACTGCAAAATAGGAGAGCAATGTAAAGAGGAAACTATTATATGGGGACTCTGTATGCTTTTCACAATTTTTCTATAAATCTAAAACAGCTCTGTAGAATAAAATCTATTAAAAAACAACAACAAACAAGCCCAGGAAATCATACTGGTACAAAGAAAAGGTGTAAGATTAAAAACCAAATTAAAATCTGAAGAACAGGACAGGCCTTCCTACACATGAAAATAAAACCAAAAAAATCTAAAAAAGCCCTATCTATAAATTTTACCATATAAAAATATAAATTTTCTGATTTAAAATAATATGAATCTGAAAGGAGGAGAGGGAATAAGTTTAATTATACATTAAAAAAGGAGGATACACAAATAGGCAATATGTTGTTGTTGTTGTTGTTATGTGCCCTCAAGTCACCTGCGACTAATAACGACCCTATATACAACAGCCCTAAACTCTGTTCTGTCCTGTGCCAATCGCACTGTCTCCGATACACCCATCCTGATTACCCCAGTCACTGAATCAATCCACCTCATAGAGGGTCTTTCCCTCCTGAGCTGTCCCTCCACCCTCCCAAGCATGATGTCCCTCTCCAAGAACCAGTCCTTCCTTACAACATGTCCAAAATATGTTAGATGAAGCCTCAGAATCCTTGCCTCCAAGGAGCAGCCCAGTTTAAACATCTCCAGGATGAATCTGTTTGTTTTCTTAGCAGTCCGTGGTACACTGAATACTCTTTTCCAGCACCACATCGCAAAGGCATCAATTCTTCTTCTATCCTCCCTAGTTATTGTCCAACTCTCTGACTCATAACAAGTGATTACAAAGACCATGGCCTGTATCAGATGCAGTCTCCAGAGACACCATTGCTCTTCAGTACTTTGGAGAGGTCCCTAACAGCAGACTTTCCCATGACAATATGTCTTTTAAATTCCTGGCTGCTGATGCCAAGAATGTTGACTATGGAGCCAAGCAAACTAAAGCTGTGAACAATCTCAATCTCTCAATCTCTTCACCATCCATTCTGATGCTGCCAATTGGTCCAGTGGTGAGAATCTTTGTCTTCTTGACATTGAGCCTCAATCCATATTGAAGGCTGCAGTCCTTGATCCTCTGCAACAAGAGCTTCAGGTCCTCCTCAGTTTCCGCAAGCAGGGTTGTGTTATCTGCATAATGCAGACTGTTGATAGATCTTCCACCAATCTTGACCTCACATTCCTCCTCATAGAGCCCAGCCTCCCGGATAATGTGTTCTGTATACAGGTTGAAAAGGTATGGAGACAGGACACATCCCTGGTATACGTCCTTCCCAATTTTGAACCATGCAGTGTTTCCTTGCTCTGTTCTGACCATTGCTTCTTAGTCCAAGTATAGGTTTCTCATTAGCACAATCAAGTGTTCTGGGATTCCCATTCTTCTCAGAGTCAGCCACAGTTTGTTATGATCCACACAGTCAAACGCCTTTTCATAATCAATGAAACACAGATAGATATTCCTCTGGTATTCCCTAATTTCAGCTAAGATCCACGTAACATTAGCTACAATATCTCTAGTACCACGATGTGAAGGCCCACGGCTGCGCGGGAATTGTTAGAAACTATCTACACACTAGTTCTACAGGACACATCACCTTTGCTCGGCAAACATTACCACTAAACTTGAGACACTGGTCACAGCATAAGAAACTGTCAGCAGCTGATGTGTTTGGAATCACAGAAGCCAAGGAAGCTTCAGATATAAGCTATCAGATCAAGGGCTGGACAATGGGCATGGGAGATAGATATTGAAGAGAATGGGTAGAAGTGGGTGGGTATCCTGGTAGATAGTGGAGAAGGGAAATAAGTGGGTCAAGACACTTGTGCCAAGGGCAGGGACAACACTGAAACTAATAGTTGATTCCACAATAAGGGATATATCTTTCACTTTTTCTGTAAAACGCTTGTCTGTTGGATACTTCTCTAAATCTGAACACTCAGATTAAGACAGACTAGGAAGAAGGACTGGCCATCCACTTCTGAAATAGAAGGCCTCTAAAAACCCTATGTACAAATAGGCAACATACAAAAGAAAAAAAAATCAATTTTTTGATGGTACACAACAATACAATGTTATGAGTAGGGAGCTCTGATGGCCTAGTGGTAAGAAACTGCACTGTTAACTCAAAGACACATGGTTCAAATACACCAGCTGCTGTGCTGAAGAAAGGTGGACAATCTTTCTGAACTGAAGAATAAAAAGTATTTTTTTCTGCTAAGAGTGGCAAAAGTAAAAAAGCAGTTGCTATTATGTGTTCTGGAGTCGCCTGAAACTCATAGTGACTGTATGCACAATACTCTTCTCCAACACCACCACCCAAATGCATCAATTATCCTTCTATCATCCCTACTCATTGTCCAGCTCTCTGAAGCATAGCAAGTGATTGCAAAGACCATGGTCTGTGGCAGGTACACCTTAGTCTCCAGAGTGACAGCATTGCTCTTCAGTACTTTGGAGAGGTCTCTAACAGCAGACTTTCACAAAGCAATACGCCTTTTAGTTTCCTGGCTGCTGATGCCAACAGTGTTAATAAACACAAAACCATCCACAGACAATAATATTGAATTTTGGGAAAGAAAAGGTACATCACTTTCACATTGGTAGGATGTAAACTAATATCTTTCTAGAAGCCAGTATGATAATACATTTTAAATGTTATCTAAATTTTAAACTTTGACTCAGAAACCCAACTTTTAAGAATATATCCAAAGATAGAAAAGTAATAAGGTGTACAAATAAAGTGACTAGGGATGATAGAAAGAGATGCCTTTGAGCTTTGGTTCTGGAGAAGAGTGTTGAATATACCATGGACTGCTAGGAGAACAAACAAGTTTGTCCTGGAGAGGGTGAAGCTGGGCTGCTCCTTGGAAGCAAGGATTCTGAAGATCCGTCTGATACAATTTGGGCATGTTGCAAGGAGGGCCTAGTGCTTGGAGAGGGACGTCATGTTTGGGAGGGTAGAGAGACAGCACAGGAGAGAAAGACCCTCGATGAGATGGATCGATTCAGTGACTGGGGTAGTGAGAGTAGGTGTGTCGGAGAGAGTGAGGTTGGCACAATTCTTCTTCTGTCATGCTTATTCATTGTCCTGCTTTCAGCCCAAATCTAGTGATTAAAAGAGCATGGTCTGAACCAAGTGCACCTTAGTCCTCAAACTAACATCACTGCTCCTCAGTAATTTGGAGAGGTTTCTGACAGTAGACATCGACAGTGCAGTACATCTCCTGAATGCTGGAACCAAGTTTATTGATGGTGGATCCAAGTAAAATGAAGTTGTTGACAGTTTCAATCTTTTCTTCATTATGATGTCACCAATCAGTTCAGTGGTGAGAATTTTAGTGTTCTTGATGTTGAATTTATATTGAAGGCTACAGTGTTACTACCTTCTGTAGCAAATGTTTCAAGTTCTCCTCACTTTCAGCAAGCAAGGTTATGTTATCTGCATACTGAAGGTTATTGATGAGTCTGTCTCCAATACTGATACCACATTCTTCTTCAGAGTTCAGCTTTTCAAATAATTTGCCAGCATACACATAGAACAGGTATGGGGAAAGCATCAGCAAGGAGGAAGGATCTTCTACCCATCTCTGCCATTTTCATTCAGGTAGAAGCCCTGATCTTTCCACTCCTGGGAAGCCTTCTGACAGCCCCTAGGCTTACAGCAGGAAAGCAGCTGCAAGGGATAAGGATCTTCCACCCATCTCCATACAATCATACACTCTCATATTAAAATAATGAAGGTCTGCCTAGATGGTTGTGATAGTTACCTGTAGTATTGTAAGCGGGGAAAAACAGGCTTGAGAGCGTACAGAGTGTATTTTATGTTAAAATACACACACACACACACACACACACACACACACACACACACACACACAATTTGTATAGAAAAGTTTATTTTGATAATTTGGTAACATTTTCCGTGATTTTTACTTTCTTGACCTATTTCTGTATATCTATACTTTAAAAAAAACAAAAACTGTTAAATTGAAATTGTTGTTGTTGTTTAATGCCGTCGAGTCGTAAATGACTCATAGCAACCCTATGAACAAACAGCCTGAGCACTGTTCGTACATAGAGTTTCCAGAGGCAAGCCATTTTGGAAATGGATGCCGCTCCTGCAGGGAAAAAGTTATTTCCATTTTGGTTAAAAAAAACCCCAAACAAACCCAACACAACAAAAAAGGGAGAAACGTTTGACCATTATGCACATAATTAAAATAATCCACACACTAACCAAACTTTCAATAACAGTTAAATGAAGATACTTACCAAACGTTTTGTTTTCTCTGAAATACTTGATTTCTTCTGGGAATTTCCTTCTTGAAGCACTATCTAAAGGAAACAGGTAAACAACTGTTTAGTAATGACTTAAAATAATTTATCTACTTAATACATACTTTCTACAAAATAAAACAAAGGTAAGAAATGTAGTTATCATTCAGTGCCATCAAGAATCAACTATAGAGATACCGTTTGACCCAGCAATTCTACTACTGGGAATATACCCCAAAGAGAAAATAACTGACATCCAAGCATATATATGCACACCCATGTTTACTGTGGCTTTGTTCACAATAGCAAGGAGTTGGAAACAACCCAGGTGCCCATCAACAAATGAATGGATAGAGAAGCTATGGTATATTTACACAATGGAATACTACGCCGACTTGAAAAACAAGGAACTCATGCAATATTATTTAAAATGGGTGACCCTGGAGGACACTATGCTTAGTGAAGTATCTCAGTCACAAAGAGGACAAATACTGCATGGTGCCACTGTTGTAAAACAGGATTGACCTTGGGGTTGGGGAGAGACTGAGAAAGATGGGTTCAATAATGTATACTGCATTGAAACACATGAGGGGGAAAACTGTTTAAAAGGGATATGTGACTAGGTATTTTTGTCATGACAGGAGTCTAGAGTGAAGGCTACATGGTGGAGTGGACCTGGGGGAGCAATTGTAAAACAATGAAAGAATTTGTCTTTTACTTTTCCAAGAGTGGAGTGTTCTGGGCGGGGAGGGTTGGGAAGGGACAAAAGTGTAACAATGAATGAATGGAAATCCAAAGTCTCTGTAAATTTTTACTAAAATTAATAATAAATTTAAATTTAAAAAAAAATCAACTCGCAGCTGACCCTCCAGAGGGTTTTCGGAGGCTGTAAACCATAATGGGAGGAGACTGCCCAACCTTCCCCTGCAGTGCAGCTGGTGGATCAGAACTGTTACTTTTAGGCTAGAAGCTCAAGTCCATAACACTAAGTCACCAAATGAGATTTCTACTTAATGCACGCTTTCTATAAAATAAAGGTAAGTAAAAGAAGAGTTAAATGCGTTAGACTCTCAAATCCTCTCTGTTCACAAAGTCAAGGCACATCTAACAATTCCTACATGAAGTAGAAAGTCCAAATAATTTTAAGTAGTATTTATATCCTAATAGGCTAGTAGTCCTTTAAAAAAGTAAATCATATAAATAGAAAAACGGTTTTAAAAATTTTATTTTAAAGCAGACACAACTACTTCTTGTTTCTGCATTTACCGACTAGAAACTATGCAAACTTTCAAACTTTGTAATCAGCTTGGACATGGACACTCTCACTTCCTGTCCCATGACTTCTCCTGGTATATGTTTTATATCCTATTAAACACCATAAACCCAGTTTCATGGAGTATGTCTAAAACAAAGATAACTGTGAACTATATTACATTAGTAGTTAAAGCAGTACCTAATAGATGCTGAGAATGGTGCTTAAATAGATCCTAAGGTAACCCCTTGGGGTACCGTAGTGCATGTACAGTTTACCAACAATAGTACTGTAGCTGGGTACCACTGAGTTTACTATGAGTCACAGTGACCCTATGAACAACAGATGTGAACCTTGCCCTATCCTGCACCATCTGCATGATGTCTGTCATGCCCAAGACCACTGTTACAGTCTCTGTGTCAATCTGTTTTGTTATCGGTCTTCCTCTCTCTGACCTTCTATTTCTCTCTGCATGATGCCTTTTCCAAGGGTTGACTGCTCCTGACTACATGCCCAAACTATGAGAAATGAAGTTTCACCATCTTTACTCCTAAAGAGGATGCTGGTCACACTTTCTCAAAGACAGAAATGCCTGCTCTTTTGGCAGTCCATGGGATATTCTATATTCTTCTCCAACACCACAATTCAAAGGCATTGATTCTTTTGTCATTCTCATTCACTGCCTGACTTTCAGATGGATACAAAGCAACTGAAAATACTATGGCCTGATCAGGCACAGGGTAGACTTTAAAATGGTATTATTACTTGTTAGCCCTTTGGGGAGGTCTTTGACAGCAGATTTTATCAATATAACACATCTTTTGATTTCCTGACTGCTGTTACCATGGGTGTTGATGACGGATCCAAGTAAAATGACATCTTTGACAAATTTATATTTTCTCTACCTTTCACAATGTTGCCTGCTGCTACACTGTTAAGGATTTTTGTTTTCTTGATGCTGAGATGTAATCCGTATTAAGGCTGTGATCTTTGATCTTCTGCAACAAGTTTGTCAAGTGCTCTTCACTTTAGCAATGTTGTATCATCTGCATAATACAGGTTGCTGATGAGCCTTCCTCCAATCCTGGTACCACATTCTTTTTCACATAGGCCAGTTTCTCAAACTATTTGCTCAGAAGACATAGTGGATAGGTATGGAGAAAGGATACAACCCTGACTCAAACCTTTTCTGATTTTAAATCATGCAGTGCTTCCTTGCTCTGTTCAGACAATTAATCCTTGGTCTAGGTACAAGTTTCACGTAAGTACAATTAAATGTTCTATTATTCCCATTCTTCTAAACGTTAGTCACAGTTTGTTATGATCCAGTCAAATGTCATTGCACAAGTAAACATCTTTCTGGTATTCTCTGCTTTCAGCCAAGACCCACCTGACATCAGTAATGGTATCTCCCTTGCCATAACCTTTTCTGAATCTAGCTTCACATTCTGGTAGTTCCTTGTCAATGTCCCATTCCAATCATTTTTTAGTATGTTCAGCAAGATCTTCCTTGCATATGATATTAATGATACTGTTTGATAATTTCCACATTCTGTTGGATTATTGTTTTTTGAATGAGAACAGATAAGAGAAAATTCTAAAAAACTAGATAGAACATAACTATGGCAACACAAATACTGTGGTTGACAGGACATAGTACCCACTGTAAACAATGAAAACCAATATGTTCTTAGTCACACCGCATGTATGTTCTTAATCACACTTGCCTTCAATCCTTATAAAAAGAATTTTTTAAAAATTTTCTTAACGTATCTAAGAACTTACAGTTTTCTGGCGGAACTCCTGATTCAGCAACTGCTGCAGCTCCTGAACGTCATCTGAAAGCTGCTTGAATTCTTCTTGCTCTTCAACTGGGACAGAACTAAAAACACACTGAAGTAAGAGGGGATTTACTGCCCCCAAATAAGTGAAGAAGCCACCTCCATTAACGGTCTTCCAATATGACAGCCTTTAAAGGGATTTCTCTATTACACAGAAGCAATAAAGACCAGAAAACCTCCTTCAATTCTCTACCCTCACATCAATGGACTCATCTAAATATACACCTACCCTTCTGACATCATTCTTAACAATAAAACGAAAATAGCATCCCTTCTGTTTAGTGCTGATTTTCTGCTTTCACTCTGGTGCTTATCATGTCACACTGCTCACTTCTATATGGTCCATTCTCCTGCCTGTCTAGCCTTTTCTATCAGCTTTTAAACATGTTCAAGTTTCTTCCATATAAATGTCCTCAATGTCAGTTTTTCACTATCACTGCATAATATATTTCCTGAAAGATAATGAGTATAATTACCTTTATCATATTTTCAATTAGCCATTTGCATTTATTCATCCTTAAATCCTGCTGACAGCTTTTACTCACTTTCCTATCTTTCCCCTTATTAGTTTGTAAGAGCTCTTTCTATATGAATAATATTAAATTAGCTTTGTTGTTAGAGTTATTTTTGCATTTTAGCATGTGTTGCACACCCTTCTCTCAGTACACTATTTTTATTTTTGCTTGATGTATCATATCTTTTAACATGCCAAACTTTAATAGCCCTCTCTTACTCCACAGTCTTTTCACCTTTTCAGACTACAGCTGCTTCTAAAGATAATTTTTGCTGAGGGTATGTTAGAAAAGCTCTCACCTGAAACAGATAAACTCAAAGACACCAACAAATTAATGGGGGGTGGAGGGGATTATTTTCTTTAAAGCCATATGTAGAAAGCCAAGAGATAGTAACTCTTAATAAAATCTTTTTCCTATGAATGAACTAAACAAAATCCTAAATATTTAATTTACTGGAGTTAAATAAATAAATAAATAAATAAATAATTAAATATTTAATTAATTAATTAACAGGAGGAAGGACAATCCTCAGTAAAATGAAAAGAAACATTTCCTGATGTTCATTAGAAGTATTGTTGCTGTTCTATACCACTGAGTCAGAGCTGACCCTTGAGGAGATTGCTCAACTTTCTCCCAGAGTAGCTAGCTTGTGGATTCCAACTGTAAAGTAAGCCTTTGGGCTGACAGTGCAACTCCTTACCCTGACAGGCCGATCCCTAATTAGAAGTAATTAATGTCTTTAAACAAGGCAGGCTGACACACTATGAAAAAAGTGAAAAGATATATAATAAACATGACAAAGAAGAAAAATGAATTTTTATTTAAGAAAGACAAACTTAAATATTCTGCTATCTATAAGGAAGATAAATTAAACGTAGACTGTAGAGTTGAAAAAACAATTATTATTTACAACTCATTCTGAAAGTCATTTATTTGTAAGTCTCCAACTTACTCAAGTTTCTCCAACTTCATTAATGCTTCCTGGTGTGCAGCATTCAGTTGTTGCATTTTGTCCACAGAGGATTTCTATTAAAGCAATTTTACTGAATCAGTGATGTATTAAAAATCACCTACCAGCTTAGATTACAAAATGTTTATACATTCTACAATTTTTACACCAGAAATAAGACATAAAACCAGGCATTCATAAGTAAATTAGTAGTTTTACTTATACAACACTAATGTTGAAGTTTATCAGTTACGTACTGTACTAAGTCCCGGGAATAACTAGTCCCTGCACATAAGTAGTTCAATCTCCTTTAAGAGACAGACATATGAATAAAAAAACTTCGAACAATTTGCTATAGTTCTGGAAATAAGAGGCACAAAGCTGACATCCAACTCAGCTTGTCTGAAGGGTAGGGAGGGATTCTCAGAGTTGATAGAAGGCTTTCTCTGAGCTGTCTTCAAGGGGGGAGGTCTGTCCCTTTGAAGACATAACCTTCTAATAAATCTATCTTTACTATTTTACCCTCATAAAAAAGAAAAGAAAAAATTAAGACGAAGAATCAGTCTGCTAAAATTGTCTCTGCGTGTGCATATGCATATGTGAGCTTTGGCAAATATGTTTGGAAGAATAAGCTAAACATAATTTGTGCAAAAAAAATTCTTTAGTTCATTAGAGCTAGAGATTAATATTTAACTGTACAAAGTTATTCCAGTACTTTAAAAAAAAATATGAGATAAAAGTGGGCAAAATGGGACAATTCAGACAGATAACTCATGTTTTCTAGTTTCCTAAATTTTTAAAGGCTGAAAAATAAATTTCTGTATATTAAAATGACTATCTTACATTAAATCTTATAGTATGATGTTAGACATGTGTTGTTGTTGTTGTTATGTGCTGTGGAGTCGCTTGCGACTCATAGCGACCTTTTGTACAACAGCCCTAAACTCTGCTCTGTCCTGGACCAATATCACTGCCTCTGACATATCCATCCCAATTAACCCAGTCACCAAATCAATGCACCTCATAGAGGGCCTTCCCCTCCTGCGCCTGCCCTCCGCCCCACCCAAGCATGATGTCCTTCTCCAAGGACCGGTCCCTCCTTACATGTACATTTAATAAAACACAATCCAATTAGGCCATTATTTAAAAATGCAAACACAGGCTTAAAATATTTCAACTATTAAAAAAAAACCCTACATTGCAAAAGCAAAGTCAAAGGAAAAAAAATATGTGGATACTATTAGTATTTTCTGCACATACATTACCTGACATAGGAAAAGGGCCTCAATCACAAGATTAAAATAATGAAACACAACCTCTTGTTACCAAATAACAAAGAAAATCTCATTCAGAGCTATGCTTTCCAAAAACTATAATGTTATTTCATATAGACAGAAAATGTATTCAAAAGGACATAGAATCATTTGACAAATATTTCAAAACCAATTTATAGCTGTGAATTATGCTACCCACTCTCACTGACTTGATTCCAACCCCCAATGACCCTAAAAGACAAAGCACAATTGCTCCACAGGTTGTCCAAGGCCACAAATCTTAATGGAAGCAGACTGTAACATCTCGTTCCAGCAGAGTGGCTGGTGCGTGAACAAACACAGCAGTTAGCACTTGGACATTTAACTATCATCCCACCAACAGGAACCTTATACATGATGGTACTGATCTGCTACGTCACTCCAAATATATTTGAATCTTACATATTGCCAAAGTAATTTCATGTATGTCTCACGGCAGTTTTCTCTGAAGTGAATAAAGTTGATCATGCCACTTAAAAACCGACTTGTCCGTTTTGCTTCTAAAATAGAAGGCAAGATTCTTAAATCAATTGAAACATAATAAAAAAATTCATCATTTCCTAACATATGCTTTGATTATAACACATAGAATTAAACTGTGTGCTAAAAGTAACCAAAGTGCAGAAAAATCTGTTGTAACTTAAAAATCAATATTATTTTTGCAAATTAGGACTCCTACTACTGACAATGAAGGAGTAACAAAAACTGTATTTACCTGTGATCGTAAATAATTAGAAAACAAGGCAAAATATAAAAACAGGCTGCAGGCATGAGAGGAGGAGTACAAATGCAGTGAACTCGAAGGTGCTCACCTTGTAGACTAAGCTGTACCACATGAAGAAGAAAAACAGAGCTTAGCAGAGCTGCTAAGAAAAGAAGATGAACTCTAGAGAGATAAAGCAGTTAACATTTATGAAACTGGGTCCTGGAAAGGAAGAAATTACAAAGAGAAAGAACTCTGGGATATGCAGAGGAGATTCTGAGTTTTTAGCTGAGCATTGAATGATGCAAGAATGTGTGGAGAAATTGTTATGGGCAGGGGGAAAAAAAACCAAGAAATATTTAATGAAATTTAAAAAAAAAAATCCAACCAGTACCCAATAAAATTTACAATATTTAATGAGAAATGTGGGGTTAAGATTGGTGGAAGATCTATTAACAATCTGCATTATGCAGATGACACAACCTTGCTTGCTGAAACTGAGGAGGACCTGAAGCGCTTGCTGCAGAGGGTCAAGGACTGCAGCCTGCAATATGGATTGAGGCTCAATGTCAAGAAGACAAAGATTCTCAACACTGGACCAATTGGCAGCATCAGGATGGATGGTGAAAAGATTGAGATTGTTCACAGCTTTAGTTTGCTTGGCTCCACAGTCAACACTCCTGGCACAAGCAGCCAGAAAATTAAAAGGCGCATTGCCATGGGAAAGTCTGCTGTTAGGGACCTCTCCAAAATACTGAAGAGCAATGGTGTCTCTCCGTGGAGACTAAGGTGCGTCTGATACAGGCCATTGTCTTTGCAATCACTTGTTATGCATCAGAGAGTTGGACAATGACTAAGGAGGATAGAAGGAGAATTGATGCCTTTGAGTTGTGGTGCTGGAGAAGAGTATTGAGAGTACCATGGACTGCTAGGAAAACAAACAGATTCATCCTGAAAAGGGTTAAACTGGGTGGCTCCTTGAAGGTAAGGATTCTGAGGCTCCGTCTAACATACTTTGGACATGTTGTAAGGAGAGACCAGTCCTTGGAGGACATCATGCTTGGGAGGGTGGAGGGACGGCACAGGAGGGGAAGGCCCTCTATGAGGTGCATTGATTCAGTGACTGGGGTAATAGGGATGGGCGTGTCAGAGACAGTGCAATTGGTACAGGACAAAGTTTAGGGCTGTTGTACATAGGGTCGCTATGAGTTGCAAGTGACTCGATGGCACATAACAACAACAATATCTAATATAAGCAGCTAAACATGTAAAGCCAAACTCAATGTGGTTAAGTCTATTCTCACTCAAGGTGACTTTATAAGATAGAGAGGGAACTGCCCTACAGAGTTTCTACAGCTGGAAACCTTCTTTCCAGAAGCACACTGCTACATCTTTTCCCCCTGGAGCAGCCAGTTGAACTAGTAATCTTTTGGTTAGTAGCCAAATGCTTTAATCGCTCAATTATAGGAGCTCCTAATCATGTAAAGAAACAGGAAAATGATGCATTAAAAAAAGAAAAATAAATTAACTGAAACATATCCAGATATAACCCAGAAAACAGATTTAGTCGATAAGAATGTGTCATTAGTCTTTATAAATGTAGGTTGTTTCCAATTTATAATGTATTTTAGTTACAGCAACCATTTGGTTTTGGCTTTTTTTTAATGGGGAGAAGGAGGGTACATCTTAGCACTGGTAGTCGTATTTAATACATACAATGTCCTATTACATCACTTTCTAATGTTATTGTTCTCATGCCAACCCCAATGACACGCAAATCTAGGTGTATCAAACCAAATTCATTGCTGTTCAGTCAATTCTGACTCATGATGATCCTAAAAGACAGAGTAGAAAACCTTCATAGGCTTTTCCAGGCTGTCAATCTCTAGGAAGGCAGACTGCCACACCTTTCTCCCAAGGGATAACTAGTGGATTTGAAGTGATAACTTTCTGGATAGCACCTGAGCACTTTACTGAAATAGGGATCTTCAAACTTACATAGCCTTGGTAAAATCCAACGCCAAACACAAACTTAATGTTTAGTTATTATACTAAACAAGCAAGATGCTAAGATGTTTTAAAAAATTAAAATATAACGCTATTAATATATTGTGGGAGAAGGATGAGAAATCTTCTCCCACGCGATGAACTGTCTCTGAAAATCCGCTGGAGGATCAGCTATGGGCTGGTTCAGATTCAATGGTACACAACAACAAAAACAAATTTATATACTAAGCAATATTCTTAAAAATTTCTTTTCAAAATGTTTCTCACTTTTAGATATAACCACTTATAGAAAATTAGGGACAAACAGAAATGTCTGCAATGTTGTTACTTTTAAATCTTTGTTTTTAAAGAATTATTAATGGAAAGTTGAACTATTTATTACATTGAAGCCAAACAATATAAATTGTTTTAAATTTTAACTTACTTGGATATAGAATATCAGCAATCTCAAAGTCATGCACCTGACAGATAGGCATAAATGAGTCCCTTGATAAATCAGAGAACAAATAGTAAGATAAACATTGTATTTTAAAAGAGATTTCTAGACATATTTCTCTTTATCAAAGAACAAAGTCAGAAGTCTAACATAACATATAATCCTATAGCATTCAATTTAATTTTTCTGACGTTACAAGTTTCCATGTAATGCCAAAGCACAGTTACAAATTCTAATAAACAACACACACTTCTGGAGGCAGGAGGCAGTGCTTTTACGAACTCAAAATCTTCCATAAAGATAGTAAACCATTTCAGATTAAAGTTTCTTAAATTTTCAATTAAAATGGACTGGTAAACTGTAAAAGGTTGAGTTGGTTATACGTTATAGAAGCTTACAATTTAAAATCTACATAGGACAGAGTTAAGAGGCAGAAAGGAGAAATTCTTTCACATATATAAAACGTATCTCCTTTAGAATCTTGTTGTTAGTTGCCACTGGGTTGATTGAAATTCATAGCAACCCCATTTGGTAAACAGTAAAATTGCTCTGTGGGATTTTCTGGGTTATAATCTCAACAGAAGCAATTGTTTAGTCTTTTTTTCCACAGGAGTGCTGAGTGGGTTTGAACCTAAATTTTTATTTTGCAGTTGAGTATAAAACATTTTACTACCGAGGGACATCTAAGAAAGCTTCACAGAATGAAAATAATCACGCAGACTAAGTAATTTTTTTTTAAATTTTTTTTACTCACAGATGAATATATAAATTGCTGACTGGTAAGAAGCCTTCCATTATATGTGGATACATGACTTCACAGTTCACTGGCATCTAAATGTAATCACAAAATAAAAGTGATACACCAATTGGACAAAATAAGAAAACTCAAAATCAATAAATTTTAATCATATGCTAAAATAAAAACATATAGCTAGTTATCATTAAATTAAAGACGTAAATTAACAATTTAAACGTTAGCACACAATTAGTGTTGTCATTAGTAGTAATGCTAAAAAACAAAAACAAATAAAAAAAAAAAACCCCACAACAAAAAAACACTCCTCCAAAAAAACCATCTCATGGCCATCAAATAGGTTCTAACACAGCAAGCTTCCATTCGGTTTCCAGGCTGCAAATATTAACTGGCAGAGACAACCCATCTTACTCCGAAAATCACTTATGGATCAGAATCTCAGCAGTTGCTCAGCCTTTTGGCTACAAACACCACCAAAGCAAGGCTCAGCAAAAAGTAACACCCAAAAGGAAAAAATGGGAGGCGGGAAATCTAAAACTCACCATGTAGAAATGCTCCAGTCGAATTCCATATACTATTTGCAAGGCTCTCATATAGATCATATGCAAGACTTCAGGCTATAAGAGAAAAACAATTCTCAATACTTGAATACATACCTTTAGAAGTAGTATCACTATTATGATTATCATCCAATACCACAGTTAATGGATAAAAAGAAGAAAAGAGTGACCAAATTACAGTAATTCCTTCTAAATAAATTAGTTCTTAAATGGATGTCACAAGAGACTCTGAATATTGCACTAGAGCGCTGATTAGCCAAAGCAAAGGGAAGAAATCAAGAAGTTAAGGATCTGAATAACTTTCAAAGGGCTGCTCGGGAAGACAAGGCAAAATATTATAATAAAATGTGCAAGGTGCTGGAGTCAGAAAATCAAAAGGGCCGAACTCACTCCGCATTTTTTAGGCTGAAAGAACTAAAGAATAAAGTCAAGCCACGAGTTACAATACTTGAGGATGCTATGAGCAGAATACTGAATGATTCAAGAATCATTTAAAGCAGATGGAAGGAGTATGCAGAATCACTGTACCAAAAAGAATCCACTGACACAGAAGAATTTCAAGAAACAACGTATGATCAAGTGGCAATAGTGATGAAGGAAGAAGTGCAGACTGCTCTGAGGACTCTGTAAAAAATAAAGCCCCAGGTATTGATGGAATACCAATTGATGTACTTCATCAAACAGATGCTGCCCTGCATGTGCTCACCAAGTTGTGCAAAGAAATCTGGAGGACAACTACTTGGGCAACTGACTGGCAGAGATTCATATTTATTCCCATTCCAAAAAAAGGTGACTGGACAGAGTGTGGAAATTATCAAACAACATCATTAATAACACACTGGCAAAATCATGCTGAAGATTATCCAGAAAAGACTTGAACGGTACATTGACAGAAATAACAGAAAAACAGGCTGGGTTTAGAAGAGGTTGTGGCACTAGAGACATTCTTGCCAATGTCAGATGGATCTTGGCAGAAAGTAGAGAGTACAGGAAGAATGTCTACCTGTGTTTCATTGACTATGTGGATCACAATAAATTGTGGCTAACCTTAAGGAAAATGTGAATCTCAGAACAATTGATAGTGCTTATACAAAACCCATACTTGGACAAAGAAGCAGTCCTCAGAACAAAGCAAGAAAACACTACATGGTTCAAAATCAGAAAGGAGTGTGTCAGGAGTGTGTCCTGTCCCCATACCTCTTCAATCTGTATTCAGAACAGATCATTTGGGAAGCAGGGCTTTCCGAGGAGGAGTGTGGTATCAGGATAGAAGGAAGACTCATTAACAACGTGTGATATACGGATGACACAACCTTGCTTGCTGAAACTGAAGAAGACCTGAAGCGCTTGCTGCAAAAGGTTAAGGACTGTAGCCTTCAATAAGGATTGAAGCTCAACATCAAAAAGCCAAAGATTCTCACCACTGGGCCAATTGGCAGCACCATAAAAGATGCAGAAGAGATAGCGGTTGTTAGCAATTACAGCTTGCTCGGATCCACAATTAAAACTCTTGACACCAACAGTCAGGAAATCAAAAGACAAATTGCATTGGGAAAATCTGCTGTCATGGACCTCTCCAGAGTGCTGAAGAGCAATGATGTCAGTCTAGATATAAAGGTGCACCTAATCCAGGCCATCGTCTTCTCAATAACTTCTTAAACTTCAGAGTTGGACAATGACTAAGGATGACAGAAGAATAGATGCCTTCAAGTTGTGGTGCTGGAGAAGAGTCTTGAACATACCATGGATTGCCAAAAAAACAAATAGGTCTGTCTTAGAGAGAGTGAAACCAAATCTCTCCTTGGAGGCTAGGATCTTGAAGCTCAGCCTCACTTACTTTAGGCAAGTGGCCAGAAGAAATTGGTCCTTGCAGAAGGACAACATTCTCGGAAGGGTTGAAGGACAGTGCAGGAGAGGGAGACCCCAGATGAGATGGACTGATATAGTAACTGGGGCAATGAGGGTTGGTGTGTCAGAATTAGTGAGACTGGCTCAAGACAGGGAAGGGTTCAGAGCTGTTATACATAGGGTCACAATATATCGCAGAGGACCCAATGGCACATAACAATAGTAACATACTATGACAGGTTTGGAAGCAGTAGTGTCATCCACTTCCTAAATAACATGCCTTTGGAATCTTTGTGAACGCTGATGTCGATGGTTATAGAGGTGCTTCAGGCATTTTGTTCATGGGGTCACTCTGAGTAGTGCTTGACTCAAAGGCAATCAACAACAACAATTTTTCCAAATCTTAACACATTATATAAAAATCTATTAATTTACTGTTATGTAAAAAGGTGTCAATGACCTAAGTGGTTTAAGCTTATATATAGGAGAGCAAACAAATCTGAACCCAGTCTAAGCAGTCCATCCACTTTAGGATGTGGAAAAAGTAGTTTAGGCTTTCAGATATGTGGGAGAAATAAAAGAACATTAAAGGAATATTTTCAAAAACAAACTTTGATGCTATAAATTTGTTCACATTTTGGTGAACATCTTGATCCAAAGGGTATAGATTTAACAAGGTAGTATGAGATTTTCAAAAATTTATCTTCATTATCAGTAGTTCTAAATTGTTGTTCTATAAACCAGTTCTAGTTCACATACAAGTTTATTAGGTAAGCAGTAGAGAAAAACAAAAATAAATGTGTTGTTTTTTATAAAACAAAAATTATTCCATTTAAAAGCCCATCATTTATTGTGAAATATCACTCCCTCTTTAATAATTACAGGAGTACAGTGACCAAATTTCTGAATGCTGTATCATTACACCATGTTATCACACTATGCTATCACTGCAGTCTCAGCACAGGAACTTGAAGGAGGCTTTGAGATATCTATGTCACATAAATAGTTCATTTTTGCATTTAATAACTAAAGAATAAAGAGCAATGTCTGTCAAAACAAGTCAATTCACCCCAGGGCATAATGCAAGAAAATTAATCTGTAAGTGTCCAAAGAGAATTGTTTCTAAGCACTTTTTGTGGCTGGAAATCACTTGTCCTAAGTTCTTTCAAGCCTTACCAATAAACGATATCCTCACACCACCACTGCAATAATAATAATAATAAAAAATTTAATATACTTTATTAAGTCCATGTTTTAGAGGTTGTTTTGAAGAAAACTACCATATTAAAAAAATTGAATTCCTAATGGGAATGTAGGAGCAGCTTCACATAGAAACTTAACGTTATTTTAAAATTACATTAGGTAAGAGATTTTGCTCTGCATTAAAATGATCTGCCTATACCAAAAAGCAGTCTCTATGTTCAGTTTGTTTTGTTTTTTTTTCTTTTCCATATAGAGACCTCATAGCTTACTTTGTTTACAAATACCACATGCAATTATGTCTGCATTTTACCTTAGGATTTGGGTAAAGATCACTCTTGGTGAGACTTTTTCCATCAGCTCCTGTTAAGATCATGTTCCGAATATAAGCCAAAATCTCAGTTACATTATATCTGGGGAAAGACAAAGTTTCCATCTTGGGAGTCTCCTTGTCTGAAAGAAGAAAATGCACACATTAGAAACATGGTGAACCAACAGCACCCATTACCTGAAGATGATACATAGAGCAAAATTAGCAAGCTAGGCTTGTCCTAGCCATGATAGTTTTAATGATCACCAAACATTTAATTACTGTCCTGGTAAAGTAAACAATATATATTTCCTAAAACTATTTCAGGGAGCTAGAGAATGACTAAGGATGACACAAGAATTGATGCCTTTGAATTGTGCTGGAGAAGAGTCTGTCTTGAAGAGGAAAAACCTTCGGAAGCTAGGATTTTGAAGCTCTGTCTCACATACTTTGGGAGGGACCAATCCTTAGAGAAGGACATCATGCTCAGAAGGGTGAAGGGACAGCACAGGAAAGGAAGACCCTGATGAGATGAGTCAATGGGAGTAGTGGGTATGTCAGAGTCAGTGAGACTGGCTCAGGATAGGGCAGGCTTCAGAGTTGTTGTACATAGGGTTGCTATGAGTCACAGCAGACTGGATGGCACAAACAACAAAACTATTTTTATTCTAAAATGAAACAATAATATTCTATTAATTTTCCTAATGCTGCTTTCTTTATCTGACAAAGGAGATGAGAAACTTTTGTTTCTTCCAACTAAGGAGCTTAACAAAATCCTAAAGAGTAATCCTCAAAGCAAAGCTTATAAACATAAGCAGAATCTCAGTAGAAAAAAATAGCAATAGAACTACTATAGTAAGTAGCAAAATTGTACTCTGATTTGGCATCCTTTGCAATACACACACGAGAGACAGATAAGGATTAAGATGTAAGGGGGTGGCGGTGGATGAGAATAGAATGATATAACTGGCAAAATTTCTAATCAGAAGAAGCAAAAACCAAACCATGTTTGAATATTCTCGATAGTGAGCTCTTGCCTCCAGTGGTGTTGCACTAGTGAAGAAGTGCTCATGATTTTGACAGAAAAGGCACTTGACATTTTTGTTGTTTGATACATGTCACTGGAATCTAGAGGGTAGAGGTTAAAGATGCTACTCCATCCTACAACTCACAGAGCAACCCCTCCAAATAAAGCATTAACCTAGCAAAAATGACAGTAATGCTGAAGTTAAGAATCTTCCCTAGGGCCTTAGATTTTTGTCATAAATTCTTGTTGCATTACACTTTGACATTATACTGTAAATTCTCATTAAGCTTTTCATGTCTTTACTTATGCCTAACAAATAGTGTGTGTGGGGGAGGTGGGGGAGAGAAGCAACAATAGCTGTGCTAGTTACTGAACAAATAACTTTTATTACTTACTCCATTCTCCACAGAAACAAAATGATTCCAGAAAGTCAATGTGAATCTATTAGATTTTGCAAACTCAAACAATTCACAATTCCAGAAACTTACTGTTTTAGGCTTTAAGCTGTTAAAAAAAAGGTTACCAATTTGCCTAAATGCCTAAACACAGAGAGATGAGTGACAAATATTTTAATTCTGCTTGAACATTTTCAAATATTACAGAACTCTCTAATTCTTAAGGAAACTTCTCCACCCCTCATTTTTAGTATGGCCCTAATAATTAGAAAGGGTTTTTTTTTAGTTTTACATTGGTTTTACCAGTTCTAATAACTCCAACTACCTGTTGTTAGGTGCGATAGAGTACAACCCCTTGATATCCTGTGAAGAACCGATCTGAACCCTGTCTTATCCTGTGCCATCCTAATGGCTGCAATCACTGTGTCAATCCACTTAGATGAGGGACTTTCTCTTTTTCATCATCCCTCCACATTTCGAAGCACGATGTCCCTTTCCAAGGAATAGCCTCTCCTTGCGACATGCCCAAAGTATGTGAGACTAAGCTTTATCGTCTTTGCTTTCAAGGAACACTCTAGCTGCACCTTCCCCCAAGACATATCTGTTTATTCTTTTGGAAGTCCATGGGATATTCAGTAATCTCCAATATTAGAAATGTATCAAATGCAAGTAACTGCCGAGGATATATTAAACCACTTGTTTACAGGGCACTACCCTCAAAACATGAAAAACATGCTATCCTATTTCTGCTAACTTTCATTAAGCATAATTTCTTCACACAGAACCACTTCTTAGATATATTATTAATTTTGGAACACTACTATCCTTTCTTCCAAAACCACACTATTTTGTCACTGTCATCTTAAAATACAATGCCCATATTCTCAGGGTATACTACAAGTAGTGGAATAGCTGGGTCATATGGAATTTCTATGTTCAGTTTTTTGAGGAAGCTGAACACCCAGAATGGACTGAGGCACAAACTGAGATTTGTATATCAATGTTCACAGCAGCATTATTCACCATCATAAGAACATGGAAACAGCCAAAATGTCCAACCACAAACAAATGGATTGAGAAATTATGGTACATTCACACAATAGAATACTATGCAGCATGCAAGAGCAATGACTTTGTAAATTATTACCTTAATTGGGAGGGACTGGAAAGCATTATGCTGCGTGAACTACCTCAGTCACATAAGGATAAATGTTGTATAAAACCATTATTGTAGAATGAGTATAAAGATCCAGGAGAGGTGGGAGAGGCTGGAAGCAGAGGGATCTGTGGATGTGCAGGTGGAAGGGGGGAGGTTAATCATTGGGTTGTACAATTTGATGGGGTGGGGGGGTGAGGGAAATGGAAAGAATTTGTTCAAATTTGTATTTGAATTTTGTAAATAAACTAGTAGAAAATAATAAGAATAAAAAATAAAATACAATGCCCAATCTGAACATGATATTCTAAATATGTAGGCAATAGCTTCCTATAATTTAATGTAGCACTTAGTGACAAATATATACTTATGATCAATTTAAACCTTTGAACTTGTTCACTGTGACCCACGTCTCAGGCTAGGATTCCTTCTTACATATTTGAGTATATAAACCTGAAGCAAGGTTTTATACTTTGTACTGTGGAATTTCATATATTCTTGCTTTCATTCTAGAATTTGGATTTTATGAATCTAGATTAGAGTATTAAATCTCTCTTTCAACTTAAATATGCATTATATTTTCATCTAAATAACAGATTTTAAAAATTCTTGAAAAATATTGCCAGGACAAAGACTTAAGAAAAAGTCACTTTTCAAAATAGGTAGACTGTATCTGGATTAAATTATTAAAATAAAGAATTAAAGAGTATTGGTAAAGAATCTTCACTATTAATATTGCATATTCCTTTCTTCTGTCTTGTACAACACTATCAGATTAGACCTTATAATGAAAAATCTATATAAAAATTCTCTTAAATATATTTTGCTTGCTTTTTTAAAAAAATTGCATATTTTACTAATCTATTGAACTTTCTGCTCCAAGTTAGTCTCCTGCTTCTTTTTGGAATTTCTTCCCATATTCAAATTTTCTTTCATAGTACAATTTCAGAGCCATTTAAATAATTTATGGGCACTGCAGGTAGGAGGGGCTGTTTTGAAGGTAGAAGATTTATGGAGAAAAATAGGAAAGAAGGGGAGACAGAACTGCTAAACATACAGGTTGAGTTGTTCAGTGTGATAACGTATATAAAACTGTATGTAAAATGACCCTCAGCCAACATTGCAAGGAGCAGAAATTAACTGCAAATTACTCTGTTTCTCATTTTATCTGTGACAACACAAATGTCAAGTAGAGCTAATTTTACTGAAATAGTGAAAATTACAAACTCAAGAGGCAGAAAACAAATAAAAAGGAAATAGAAATTACTTGTTTAGGAGAAATGATGATGTTATGTATGGATGCCTAGTGCCATATTTACACAGCTTGCTTTCTTTGATTTTTTTTGTTGTTGTTGTTAAAGCATTACTAGGAAAAAATGAAAAATTAAGGAACTGCAACATAAAAGTTTATCATCCCAAACAGCCTTCCTATATGCATGAAGGGAAGCCATTCAGATTTAAAACAAAATGGTTGATTTGTTTAAAACAATCCTTTTAATTAGCTCAAAGCAACAAATGATCATTTCATAATTTAGTAAACCATCTGTAACCTGTTGAATGCCAGTGTCTCTGCATGAAGGAAAAAGGAAACAGAGTTCACACAAGTTTTAAATACTGAACATTGAACACAAGTACTTAGTGATGATGACCAAGTACTTAGCAGTTATTGCTAAAATTTTGGCGCCACATTCATCTGAACTCTAGAAACTGAAACTTAGAAAACCTGGTCTTGTCGTCTAGTAGTGGTTAACAATTCTAACAACCGGCTCAGGCACAGCAACAATTGGTGAAGGTAGAGGAAAGGGCAATGTTTTGGTCGATTTGATGGCACACAACAACACAGGAATCAACTTAACCATTTCCAACAAAAAGACTACCCTTTCCCAGTAGGGAAAGACAAATTAGTGTGATAGTCTTAAGATCCTTTAGATTATGTTTGGTTTCAAGTTTAAGAAAAGGGGGGAAACTCCAAACCACTCAAATCTTAAAAAAGTAAAGTAAGACGCATTTTGTTAACTTTTTTTTTTATTTAACAGCAGAAGAAACACAAACTCATAAATGATTTCGGAGCTCCTGGGTCGCACTGAGTAAAATAGTTGAGTATTCTACTACCATCTGAAGGGCTAGCGATTGCAACCCACCCAGAGTCTCCTCAGAAGACAAGTATGATCATCTATTTCCTAAAGATCACAGCCTTAAATACCAAAAGTAAAATAAGTAAATAAATAAATAAAAAAATAAAGAACATTTAAAAGAAAGTAAACCCTTGTAGTGGGGTTTTACTTTGTACACAAGAGTTCTCCCTAAACTAGAATCCACTAGAAGGCAACAGAGCAAATCATCACGCTTCCAAATTGGCGAGCAAAAATTAACAACAAAAAAAAATGAAAAATGCATCTTTAAACTGACAACTTTAGTTCAATCTCATCTATAATACATGCTGCATCAGACAACATCCAACAGCTTAGCTGCACATATAAACATGAACTCGCCCCTACCTCCCAAGGACTGGATTCCCCAGTCTCCTCCCCAGAGCGGAACAGAATCA